TTAACAACAGAAAAGTTCCTTGCGGCATTCGCCAGACGAGGTTTTCCCCAGCGGGTCTATTCGGACAATGGCAAAATTTTCGTTGGAGCAGTAGCATTGCTATTAGGGTTGTTGATAATACATCAAAATATCAATATATCAATATTTTTTTCTAAAAATGATACATTTATGTCGTATTTATTTGGTTGCCCAAATATCGGAATATCGATATAAATTTTTGATATTTTTTGATATTTTTGTCTTCGGTCACTCTCAATTCTGAAGTGGCAGCACTTGAATTTATCCATTTATCCAAGCGCGAAATAAAGAAAATGAGTGTGAAATCAAATTATTCAATGGTGAAAAACAGGACAGCGAAGTGCAAATATTGCGAAAAAGTCATAAAAGCAAGCGGGAATACGACCAACCTGGCTTCTCACCTAAAAAATAAGCATCCTGATGTGTTCGCAAAATGCGGGCAAAAGTAGGTAAGTTTGTGATATGTATGTACGTTGAGTCTATGTGTGCATATGTAACTTACCCACATACCACTGAAAATTGGCGCCAAACGCGCACGCACACGTTCACAACATACTATATATTAATTAGTTTTTTTTCTTAGCTCTCAATGAACTTCGAGAAAGTTATGACGATAACGGAGTCTTTAAGGAATGTTGAGAATTTTAAAGGTATGTTTAAAACTCTTGGTTTTTTTTGTAGGTAAAGTTGCGCTTTAGGGACATTTGCTAAAAATGATCTAGGAAATTTATTTTTTTTAAAGCTACGACCAGGTGCTTTTCTGATAGTTTAGCGTTTAAAAATAAATAAATTTCCTAGAGCATTTTTAGCAAATGCCCCTAAAGCCCAACTTTACCTTTTTGTAAACCAATAAAATCGAAGGAAAGAGCCGGTGGCGTTTGTTACCTTAACTTACTTTTATTTTCATTTTAGAAGAAGGATTTAAGACAAAGGAGATCAATGAGGCAATCGTCTTTATGATTTGCAAAGGCAACATGCCAGTGCGCTGCGTCGAAAAAGAAGGCCTAAAAGGACTTTTGAAGACCTGTGTGCTTCACTTTAAAATACCTTGCAGAGCCAAGGCAAGTATTAAAGAGTCTTTAATAAAAATGTTTAATGTATTATGATAGACTTTTATAAAAATATTTACTTTTTCCAGATAACAACAATGATTGAGGAGAAGTATAGATACTGCGTGGGAAGACTCAATAAGATGTTGAGTGAAGTGGAGGACTTGGCGTTCACCTGCGACGCTGTTACCATTCCGAACTCAAGTCGCTCCTTTCTCTCAATCACAGCTCACTTCCTTTATAAAGAGTCACTGAACTCAATATGTCTGAAATCTACAAGAATGGAGCAGGTTAGTTTGAATATAAATATTTGTATTTTATATGTGTTTTGCGGTCCATTGTTTATCGTGTATGTCTTCTGCTCTGTCGATACGTGTCTTGTGTCTAATTTTTTTTAAGCAATAATTAAGTAAAACATATTTTCCACATTCAATTTAGTCTCATACCAGTGAATATATAGCCTCATAGTTGAAAGAAGCTTGCTCAGAGTTTCAAATAGATCGAGTCAAGTGGACCACTCTCACTACCGACAGTGCAGCAAATACGAAGTGCGCTGCCAAACTTTTTCTGGGGCCTGGCAAACATGTGCCGTGCTTCGCGCACTCCATAAACTTGGTAGTAGATGATACTATTAAAGAGATTTATTTATTTACCAGCATTTTGGATAAAATTAAAAGAATTGTCATGCATTTTAAGCATAGTACGGCCATGATGGACCAACTGCGAAAGGCTCAAGCCGATGAGGGTACTCCGGAAGGAAAAATAAGAACATTGGTTCAAAACGTAGACACCCGCTGAATTTCATGTGTAGACATGATGGAGTCCTTCTTAGGCTTAGCCACCAAAGTAGCAGTGCTATTAATTCAAAGATCGGAACGAGTTAAGGGACTACCCGAAATGCTCAATGCCTTAGAGCTCAGTGTGTGCAGCGACTAATGTAGTCTCCTGCAGCCATTTAAACAGGCCACTGAGCAGATAAGCGGTGAACAGTACGTCACCGTAAGCATGGTGATTGCACTTATTTCGATTTTGGAAAACAGCATCAAACAATTGAATATGGAAACAGACGAGGGAAAGCGAGCCAAGGAGGCTTTTTTAAGGAATTCGGAAAAGAGGTTCCAGTCGTTTCAGCTAAATAAAATTTTAATGAAATCGTCATTTTTAGACCCTAGGTTCAAAAAAATGTATTTGACACCGCTTTCGGTAAGGGAGGCCATTCTCGACATAACCATTGAAACCGATATATTTACCCAAGAAAAAAGGGTAGGTCATAAAATTACAAATTTTTATAATGTAATAACTAATTAACTCGTAAAACTAAAAATTGTAATATTATAACATTTAAAATTTTGCTAAAATAAGAAAAACACTTGCTAACTACTTAAATTCTTACAGATTTCTGATGACGAACAAATAAATAACTTCAAGTACTTTAAGAGCTTTCATAACAAGTCCATCGCAAATGACAGTGACGAATCGGAGAACAAGGAGCTAAAACTTTATTTTAGCTTGCCCAAGGGCTGCAGACGCACACATTACCCAAAGGGTATTCCTAAAATCCCTAAAAACGGCAAACTGGTCTTAAAAACTATTTAATAATACTATTATTTTTAAAAAGAAACTTATTGTCTTTTTATTGGGGGCGGGAAATTTTTTTATTTAACACGAAAAATATCGTGTTCAGTCCTCTCCCGCTCTCCCTCTCCCGGAGCTTCTCCCCACACCGCACTCTCCCTCTCCCGAAGCTTGGAGCATGTCGCGCTCGGCCGTCCAGGCTCTCCACTCCCCGAGCGCGAGAAGTCTCCGCTGCGCCTCCAAGCGCCTAGCTTAGAATAGCTTAAATTAGTTCCAATACGTCAACGTCTGAATAAACGCCTGGCCGGTCCGCGCCATAATCGAAGTTTTAGAGTTTTTACTTTTCGCGATCGCCGAGTGCTTTTCTCACCCCCACAGCTTAAAACCCCCAGCCGTCGCTGCCCACCCGGAGTTTTTGCTGCCTTCAAGTCGGACGCCCCCAGCACCACATTTTTTGATCCAATCGAGCCAGATTGACCCAGCGCCCGAAATTGCTCAAGATAAGTACGAAGATCTACATATATTAATTTGCCGGTCTGCAGTCAGCCACTCGAAAACACTGTTTCGTTTGACTTTCTGCATGATTTTTTCTAAAAATCCAAGTCCGATTTAATCCGAAAACGGCAATTATTAAGATCTCTTCCATTTTCCGTTTTTCTTTGATCGTGCCGCCATATTCTTCCAATTCCTCTTTGGCCCGTACATCAAACTAAAACCGTACACATATGTACATACAAGTATACATACATACATCAAATGAGCAAAATTCCAAACTTTAACAAATGAGCGAAATTCCAAACTTTAACAAAGAGCAAAAATTCCAAACTTTAATAAAAAGTGAAAATTGCAAAATTTCAATAAAAAGTGAAAATTCCAAAATTTAACGAAAAGTGTAAATTCCAAAATTTAACGAAAAGTGTAAAGTGTGCAAAATATTCCAAGTGAACAGTGAAAAAATAATTTCTGTGAAAAACTTCCAAGTGTTCTGCCGAAAAAGGGCCCCCAATTTCAAAGTGTTTTTTTTTTCACTGTACTCCTACGCTAAATATTTTGCACACCTTTTCTTCCAATACAGTCCACTAAATAAAAATCGAAAGCTCAACACATACCCGCCGGCAATAATTTAAATAAATTTTCCGCCACAAATACAAACATATATCATACATATACATACACATATATACATCATATATTCCATATATATCTCCAAATATATTCCATATATCCATACATCATATTTTCTACTTCCCACAGCGAGAATATACCAACATTAAAAGTTTTCCGTCGGCCTCCGTGTAAATAAAAATAAATAATAAAAATCCACCACCGACGCGGAAAACTTTGTTGGTTTCAGTGTGTTTTATTTCCAACATTTTTTTTGGCGTGAGCGCGAACTGCACGAACGCACATACGTACATATACACATTTATATCCAAATCCAGCATCCCAACTGCATATACATACACACCCATACCCATTAGGGAGCCGTTGCACGACAAGGGCTTTATACACGACATAAGGTCTTAAACATAGAAAATTTTTCCAAAGACAAAATAAATTATTTCTGAGCTGTAATAAATAAATTCCAATTTCAACAACAACACAAAATTAATACTGCAATCAAATTAAATTAAAAATACCAAAATACTTGGGAATTAATTTTTTATTATTTGATTTGTTTATTTTGTCCAGTTACATAAAATAATTTTTAAAAAAATTTTATTTCGTTGTCTGGTTCCATAAAATTTAAGTGTGAACGTCACTCCGTACGGTTCACCATTGTTGATCGCTCATAAAATAAATTTTTGCAAATAAATTATTTTTTGAATAAATAATTAACATCCATTCTCCGCATAAACAAGCCTTTTTGGTTTTTTCTGTCTTCTTCACAGTTGGTAATATTTTCTTTAACTCCTTTAGAGAAAATAATAAATACCAGCATACCAAAAAAATAATCCCGTTTTTTATTTTACATATCCGAAACAGTAAATATTTAATTATTCTGGCGTTTTTTTTTGGCAATTGATATTCGCTCCTGTGCAATTTAAATATACCCCGTTTCCACTGGGCATATATCTCTTTTCTATTTATCGTCGCTATAGACCGTTTCCTTTTTAGCGAAGCAAATTCTGCTGAATACCAATTTTTTCGAGAGTGCAATTAAAATACCAAAGGTCTAAAATTTGTTTTTTACACCCAGCACACTCGTTTTTCAAAAAAGGTTTCATTTTTTGGCATGTCCAGTGAAGGTGCGAATAAGGGATCTCCCATTCCACCAACAAAAGCTCCGAAGATTGTTGTCAAGCCGCCCACACCTAAACTTTCCAATAAGACTCGCTCTCCCCAAGCAAGGCTCACTCGTTCCGAGACAAAAATGGCTCTAGCTGCGTCCGATCTTGCGCTGAATCAATTCATTGAGGTTTCAGATCGACTCAGTGAATTCGAAGCGAGATGCAACACTCCGTCGCCGACTCCCCCGAGCATGTCCATGCTAAATATCCGACGCGAAGAGGTCCGAGCATTGTGGGAGCGCATCAAAAAAGAGTACGATGAGTGCAATGTACGCCTGATTTCAGCCGGAGACAGTGCAGCTGACAGCTTGCCAATTCTCCGAGCGAAATATAATTATTGCTACGGCGTCTACGAAAGGTGTGGTGCGAATATAGAGGATCTTATTGCGCAAGCTCCACGAACCCCCCAAACACAAGCTGATCCGTCCCAGACCTACGTTCCTTCAGGTTGTCGGCTACCTCCGTGTGATACCGAGGTCTTCACCGGCGATTATCTTCGCTGGCCGACGTTTAGGGACCTTTTCACGGCGATCTATATTAACAATCCAAGATTGACGCCGGTCGAGAAATTGTTCCACCTGAATTCCAAAACGAGTGGCGAAGCACACACAATTGTGGCAAAGTCGCCTTTAACTAACGATGGTTTTCGCTCAGCCTGGGATAACCTAACTAAGCGTTTCGAAAACAAACGGTTGTTAGTAAACAGTCATTTGAAAATACTGTTCAATGTGCAGTCCATCACTCAGGAATCTGGGCCAGCTTTGCGAGAGCTTCAAGACACCATCCAGAGTTGCCTTACCGCTTTAGAAACGAGCGATATTAGCACCGACAATTGGGATTGCCTATTAGTTTATATGGTCTCCGCCAAACTTCCAAAGTTGACACATTCCCTCTGGGAGCAGTCGCTCCACAACAAGGTCGATGTTCCCTCTTGGCAGGAGTTAAATAATTTCCTCACTGAGCGTCACAGGACACTAGAGGCCATAGATGACGTCCGTCCGTCAGGCTCTAGTCAGCCTCAGCCCAGAGCAGCAGGCTCGAATTCCACGGCACGTAGGATCCATTCCTATGAAGCTAGAGTAGTACCCAGAGGTAATGGGTGCGACTTGTGCAATAGAGAAAACCATCAAGTGCGGACATGCGCACGGTTTCTCCGGATGTCTGTCGATGAGCGGTCCGCCTATATCAAAGGCAAAAAGCTGTGTCTGAACTGCTTTGCACGAGGACATCAGCTACGGGACTGTGACAGCACTCATAGTTGCTTCACATGCCGCGGCCGCCATCACACGCTACTGCATCGAGGTAACGCGTCTCCAACGCCCTCGACTCCAACTCCAGCTTCTTCGCCCAGGTCAAGACCAACTACGACGGCTCCAGCGACTACCAGTGCCGCAACCTCCACGGTGCAAAATTATTTTGCCACGGGTCATAGATCCGTCTTGTTGGGCACCGCCGTTATTGACATTTGCCATCTGGGATCAACCTTCAAAGCTCGTGCCTTGATCGACTCTGGATCGGAGGCAACATTCATGACTGAGAGGCTGTTCAACTTGATTAAGTTGCCTCATCAGCTCATTCGAGCCCAAGTCTCCGGCTTAAGCCCAACACTGGCAGCAGAATCCAAAAGACTCTGCCAGTTTTCAATTCGATCTCCGACCAGGCCTGGCCTGCAGCTAGACGCGACTGCCTATGTCCTTCCACATTTAGCTGGTCAACTTCCGTCCTGTTCAATTCCGCAGCATTTCCTACGGGAGCTTCCCGATTTTTCTTTGGCGGACCCGAAGTTTTATGAGAGTGCACAGATAGATGTGTTAATCGGGGCTGACCTGCTGCCTTCCATACTCCTCAGCGGCACCCGAGCAAACATCTGTGGCTCTCTTCTTGGTCAAGAGACTATATTCGGATGGATCCTTACCGGACCAGTACCAGCTGCTAGGCAAGAGCAAATTTCCGCTTTCTCCACGCGAATCTCCCATATATTCGATACAAACCTGGATCAACTTCTTACCAAGTTTTGGGAGGTGGAGGATCTGCCAATAAAAATGGCAAAAGAGTCAGATTTGGCTTGTGAGGAAAATTTCCTCCGGACAACCACGAGAGACGATAGTGGAAAATATATCGTCAGCCTTCCATTCCGTGATCCGGAGAACGTAAAGTCCGCCCTGGGACACTCCAGATCCTTCGCGTTGGCTCAATTCTTAAGAAACGAGCAGCGTTTGAAAAGGGACAGCCAACAGAAAATTAAGTACGATACCGTTATTCAAGAATATCTCGATCTCAACCACATGAAAGAGGTCTATCCTACCCATGATTCTGCGAGTTATTATCTTCCGCATCATGCCGTGCTCAAGCCGGAAAGTAAGACCACCAAGCTTCGTGTGGTGTTCAATGCCTCGAGCCCTTCAGACAATGGGGTCAGTCTAAATGATATCCTTCATGCTGGCCCGGTCTTACAGTCCGATCTGACCATTCAAATTCTGAAGTGGCGATATTTCCGATACGTATACAGTGCCGATATCGAGAAAATGTATCGACAGATCTGGGTAGACCCGAAGCATACCCCGTTCCAACGCATTTTATTCCGAAACAGCGAGGGGTACATTCGAGATTTTGAATTAAAGACGGTAACTTTCGGGATTAATTGTGCGCTCTTCCTGGCGATACGAGTCCTACAACAGCTGGCGACTGACGTGCAGCTCAGCCATCCAAGAGCGAGCAATGTCATTCGTAGTGCAATGTATGTAGACGATGTCCTTTCGGGAGCTGACTCTGCTGAAGATGCTCAACTCACAATAAAAGAGTTACAGAATGCCCTAGACTCCGCGGGTTTTCCGTTAAGAAAATGGACATCCAACAACAAAGAGGTGTTAGCTCATATCCAACCCGATCATCTTCTGAACTGCGATTTCCTTGATCTCGACACTGAAAATACAGCCAAGACTCTCGGTGTACGGTGGAGAGCGACGTCCGATGAGTTTTTCTTCGTTCCCCCAGATCTACCCACAGAAATCTCCCCCACAAAACGCCAGGTGCTTTCCCAAATCGCCAAACTGTTTGATCCGGCAGGCTGGCTTGCTCCATTTGTTGTGTGTGCCAAGATCTTTATGCAAGAGATTTGGCTTCAGGAGCTGGGGTGGGACGATAAGCTGACATCTGAGCTGTGCCAAAGGTGGCACAGTTTTCTTCAAAGTTATTCGATCCTTGATCAGGTCCGGATTCCAAGATGGGTTTCCTTTCGCCCAGAATTTCGCTTAGAGCATCATGGATTTTGTGATGCCTCGCAGAAAGCCTACGGCGCTGCAATCTACGTGCGCGTAGAGATGGGACATACCACGATGGTACACCTGCTCACCGCCAAGACGCGTGTTGCGCCAGTCAAAACTGTGCCGCTTCCTTGACTAGAGCTGTGTGGAGCTTTACTGCTTGCCGAAATGGCTGAAGCGATCCTTCCCAGCATGCCGATGCTGAATTCGAATCTCCACTGCTGGACCGACTCCACTATTGTGTTGGCGTGGTTAGCAAAACCAGCTTGCCATTGGACTACATTCGTTGCCAACAGAGTGACGAAGATCACTCAGTCCACAGAGGCAGCCAACTGGTCACACGTTCAATCCGAACATAATCCCGCTGACTTGGCTAGTCGAGGGGTGGCCCTTCCAGAGCTTGTCGGTAGTTCTCTCTGGTGGCATGGACCCACTTGGTTGCAAAAGCCACGCAGCCAATGGCCTAGCCAGGGGACCGACCTACCCGTGACCGAGATCGAAAAGCGAGCAGTCAAAGCCCACGTAGCGTATATTCCGAACGAAGACTTCCTTGATCGTTTTTCCAAATTGGATAGAGCTTTGCGGGTCCTCGCTTATGTCCAGCGATTTATCAGTCGGTGTAAAAAACAATCGCCGCTTTCAGAGATCCGTCTGGAGGCCAAGGAACTTGTCGCCGCCGAACGGCTCATGATTCTCTGCACTCAGCGCAGGTATTTAACGAACGAGTATCGCAGTTTGAGTCAGAAGCTTCCGGTGCCCCTTCCAGTTCGATCCTCTCCTTAAACCCTTTCCTAGATCAGGAGGGGCTGATAAGGGCATGTGGCCGCGTCACAGCCTCTGAAAGTTTGCGTTACGATGAACGACATCCGATAATCCTCCCGTACGAATGTTCACTCTCTCGGCTTCTGGTAAAGTTCACGCATCTCATAACGCTACACGGAGGTAACCAGTTGGTGGTACGTCTCACCCGTTCCAGATATTGGGTTCCGAGAGTTAAAAACTTGGTGAAGGCAGTTATCAATGCCTGCAAGGTCTGCGTTATTTACAAAAAGAGATTGCAAGTCCAGATGATGGGAAATTTGCCAAGAGAACGAGTGTCATTCTCCCGTCCATTCACGTACACGATATAAAAAATTACACTGGTAGAGCATGTCTTATCACGAAAGGGTATGTGTTGGTTTTCGTTTGTTTCTCCACCAAGGCTATCCATTTGGAGCCTACTTCAGATCTGACGACCGAGAAATTTCTTGCGGCGTTCGCTCGGTTCGTATCCAGAAGAGGGTGTCCTCGCCAAGTGCAGTCGGACAATGGGAAGACCTTTGTTGGCGCTGCCACATTACTGTCCCGAGATTTTCTCCAGGCCGTTAAAGAGTCTGTGACTGATGCGTATAGTCATCAGCAGCTCGACTGGCATTTCATTCCGCCAGGAGCACCCCATATGGGAGGCCTATGGGAAGCTGGTGTCAAGAGCTTCAAAGCATTGTTTTATAAATGCACAGCTACGCGGAAGTATACCTTGCTACTCTGCTAGCGAAGATTGAAGCTTGTCTAAACTCCAGACCGCTATCTCCCATGTCAGAGGATCCCACTGATCTTCTAGCGTTGACACCAGGGCACTTTCTTGTCGGCGGCCCTCTTCTATCCATAGTGGAGCCCGAAGTAAAGGGGGGAATCCAAGACTATATTGAACCGGTGGCAACACTTGAAAGCGCTCCATCAGCAATTCCGCGCTCGATGGAAGGATGAATACCTTAAAGAGCTCCACAAGCGCAACAAGTGGAAGTGTCCCACCGAGAATATGCGTGTCGGGGACATGGTCGTCATCAAAGACGACAATCTGCCCTCAAATGAGTGGCGACTCGGTAGAATCGACTCCGTCTTTCCTGGAGCCGATGGCAATGTCCGCGCAGTCGACATCCGGACGGCGCGCGGCATTGTCCGGCGTCCAGAAGCCAAAATTGTTCTCCTTCCCGGAGATGCTCCCCAAACTTCTACCCAGTAATCCAAACGTCGTTATCCGTAGTCCGTAAGCCCCGAATCATTCCATTATAAAACATATTCCTTTGTTTTTTTTCTTTTTCATATTCCACCGCCAAAACCCGTAGGCAATGGCTCCGCGTAAGACCAACGCTCAGGCATTAGAGAGCAGGCGGACTCGAGGCACGCAGTCCTACCGGTGCCGAGTCTGCAGGGGGATCCACCCTCTAAAGAGGTGCCAGAGGTTCCTCAAGCTGCAGTTCTTGTTAATAAGTACTGCGCAAATTGCCTTGCCCACGAGCATTCGCAAGGGGACTGCCGTAGCGGTGACCGGTGCAGATCGTGCGATGAGGAGCATCACACGCTGCTCCACATCACCGAGCCTTCCAAGCCTTCCAAAAGGGGCTCCGCTTCTCAGCAGCGTTCGCGCCGACAAGATCCGCCAACTCGCAGAGCGCTCGCTTCTCCACCGCGCTTAGCATCCTCGACACCAGAGCCCTCGACTCGCGCAGCGCGCGCTGCTCCGACGCTGGCAACCCTTCTTCAGCACCACGTCGTCAACGTCCTTCCAACGGCTTTGGTCACCCTGGAGGCGGGTCCGAAGATTGTGGACACCGTGCCGCTCATCGACCCCTGCTCGCCTCAAAGCTGTATCGACGCCACCCTGGCGTCCAGCCTTCGTCTGCCGACCACCAATGTCGGAAAGGAAAGGGTGTGCACGGCGATCCTCCGATCGAAAGTCGTCGAGGGAGCTGCGTTGGAATTCGTCCTCAAGATCGAACCCGGTGTCGGCGTCCGCACCCCCATCCGAGCGATCGACTCATCTGTCGTCGGCCGCTACAAGGACCTTCCGCTGGCCGACAAGCGGTTCTATCTGCCGGCGTCGATTTCCATGGTCCTGGGTGCGGATGTCTACGCCAAGGTCATCCAACCAGGATTCCACCTGGTCGCCGAGGGATTGCCAGTAGCCCAGAAGACCATCTTCGGCTGGATCCTGTCCGGCGCCTGCAACCAGGGCTGATTATGTTGCAACGCCAGCGGTTGCAAGGGGGGCGGGACGTTCAGTCCTCTCCCGCTCTCCCTCTCCCGGAGCTTCTCCCCACACCGCACTCTCCCTCTCCCGAAGCTTGGAGCATGTCGCGCTCGGCCGTCCAGGCTCTCCAAGCGCCTAGCTTAGAATAGCTTAAATTAGTTCCAATACGTCAACGTCTGAATAAACGCCCGGCCGGTCCGCGCCATAATCGAAGTTTTAGAGTTTTTACTTTTCGTGTTTCTCTCACCCCCACAGCTTAAAACCCCCAGCCGTCGCTGCCCACCCGGAGTTTTTGCTGCCTTCAAGTCGGACGCCCCCAGCACCACATATCGGAAATATCGATATTATCGATGTTTTTATATGATATTTAAAATATTATCATATTTTTTGACAAAATTTTCGACAACCCTAATTGCTATCCCGCGATTTCATGCAAGCGGTCAAGGAGTCTGCGATGGGAACATACGGCCATCAAGGGCTTCTGTGACGTTTTATTCCGCCAAGCGCATCGCACATGGG